ACTTGAATTACAACAGAAACATGACAGAAACAGCCTGTCAGGAGCCCCAAATGCCACGTAGACCTGTGACCACTATGGCAGGACCTGCAAGTCTTAATCTTTAGCCACAAGAGAAAATGTACCAACAGTCAGTAGAATAGCTGCAATGTCCACCATCACTCGCTGACAGAACAGATGCCTTTTTGAGGCTCTTTCCTCCCATTGCACCACTGACCACAGTCATTTTATTTCCTGTAATAAAAAATAAGCTACTTCCCAAAGTAAAGCCTCACTTTATCCATCTCTTCTTCACTCTCCTAAAACAGATTATCCCTCACTTATTAAAAATTATAAAATTCAAATTTCAATAAGAATCTGCATTTCTGGAAAACCCTAGCATGCATAGTCCATTCAGGGTGAAACAGGTCTGCATGACAAATAGCTCAGAGGTGTTTTCCACCCCACATTAAGGACATGGATAGAATATTTTACTATTATATTGGGAGACAAATTATTGGCCCATATATCATATTTACTTGCATGCCACATGCACTCCCTCCCCTGCCCCCATCAGCCCTCCAAAATTGGGGTGCATGTCTTAAGCAGGGAAGCTGATTTTCTATGTTGGAGTACAAGCATGGGGATGCTGTAAAATGGCTGTCATGTTTCCCCCATGCCAGCCTCAAGGAGTGAGGGGGTAGAGTCTGCGCTCTTTAGGGTCAATGTTAGACTGTTAACCATTTCACAGCCACTGCAGGTCTTCCCAGAGAAACAGGAATATACCATTTTCAGGTATCCTTGTCTTACCAGAATCATAGTATCTTACTGCAGAATGCAGACTCACCAGTGACCACAGAGTCATTTTTCCTGTAATAAAAAATGAGCTATTTGGTTTAGTGAAGAATCACTTTATTCGTCTCTCCTTCAATAGATTATCCCGCAAATATTTATTAATCGAAATTAGAAAATTAAATTTTTCTAACCATAGAGGTGGTGTCTTTATTTCACAAGATTAAAGATACAGTACAAAATGAATCTGTACATCTTTCTATTAACAGAATTTGTTTACACAATTATATTACACTTTGCCAGCCTTTATATTGAATTTCCTTAAATACAAAATAAATTTACAAAAATTCCTACAATACCCTCTTTAACTGCAGCTGATAAAAATCAAAATGGGCTTCCCCCAACAGCCCCTGCCTGCTTATGCTTTTGTAGTAATTCTCAAAATCATATTAAACCTTCTTGTTTATGCATTGTTAAAAAAAAATATTTCAAATATATTTGAAAACAGATATAATTTCAGCTTATGGTTCATCTGAAATAGAAGCAATTGGTGAACATGAGCTTCTTTCCCTGTAACAGCCTCCTCATGTGCTAAAGCTAACTTGTATGATTTGTGGAAAAAGGATTGGTACATATTTTTAAATCCTCTTAACAACACACACTTGCATGTAGTTTTCATGATGAAACAGGACATGCATTTGATATATTCTACTTCTGTGAGTTTATCAGCAGAGCAACTGATGTCTCAGGGAAAACTTTTTTAAAGGCCACACTATTTTCACTTTCAGTTTCTGTATTTTTAAAGTTTCAATAAAGGGCATTTATATAAAAGCTCCTTCCTTCTACTATTTACTTCTCACTTGAAACCATTAGTTATTGGGTGAAACCACTGATGTAAGTACATTTTGGGAAAAAACCTTACTGGGAGAAGGCAGAATATCAACTTGAGAGTTCAGGATACTGTAAAGTGTTATATTTTTAAATTACAAAAAACAAAGTTTATACATTCATTGGATTAGTGATTTCTAAAACAAAAAAGTTCCCCTCAGACCTTCAGCTTCATTTTTCTCTTGTCTTTCTGTATTTTGAACTTCTGTTGACAGCCATAAGATGTTTAGCCATTCTGCTCTCCAAATGCAAAGTAGAGAATGGGAAGGTTTGAAGATGTGAATTCTACCTTAAAATACTGCAGGTGGGGGTATAAATTGCTCACATTCAGAAACCTCAAAATTTCCAAAATAAAGAATGAGGGACAAGAAAGCTAGAGAAAACTAAGTTGAGCAGCATGTATAGTGTCAGTACAACTGTGGGTTGCTACTAATTTCTGAATGACATTACCAAAGTTTCCTGTTTGAATTTTCAAGTTGGAACTCCCACTTTAGCCTTTCAAAAAGGCCAGTGCAGACTCAACTTCAGCAATATTAAACTTCACTGAATCAGAAAAACTATCTGAATAAAAATTCCACATCACTAGAAATTCTGAATAATTTTTTCAAGTCTAAATCCACTTTTAATCGTTGCTGCACATACAGAGAGATAAGATGCACCACTAAAAATGTTCTATAAAAACAAATCCTAGGAGAAAAGTTAAAAAGCAACTCCCAGTTCTGTAAGGAAACTGGGAGAGTTGGTTGGTAAATTATGCACAACATGCAAGTACTCACTATTGCCAGTACTGATGTTATTTAAGAGGGGAAAACTACACTGCAAATTCTGGAAGAGAACAAGGATGTATTAGAAAAAAACCTGAAACACATTGTAGGCAACTGATCTAGAAAAACTTTATTTCTTTAATTCTTGAGTTAACTTGATGTTATTCATGTTAAATTATCTCTATTACTATTACTTTATTCAAATGATTGCCAAAAGAACAGACTGTTTTGTTCAACACTAAGGGGAAAAAGTTTTCCATATTACTTTTTTATATTTCTGAAAAGGCAGTTCTTTAAAATGAAGAGTTCAAGCAATGTTTGCTTATTTTCTTTCACTAATTTCTTATGAAATGTTTCCATTCTATGCAAAGCCATCTATAAAAGAGCACTGCTAAACCATTTGGTGGGGATACATTCCCCAAAACATACAGCTTAGCCATCAAAAATTATTCAAACATTCAAAAAAATTCAAACTTAAAGTAAAATATAGCAAAAATGGTAGAATTGTTCCAAAACCTAGAAGACAAGCATTTAATACAAATTTAGTAGTGGTTAAATTGGAAAGTCTGTAGTTAGCAGTGGTTAACTGGAACTGTTTTCCTTGGAGCCTTTTATGTCTTTATGCTGAACTAAAGTGACCTAGAAAATAAGAAGCAAGAATTCTTGGTGGTGATCTCTTTTTACTGACCCAACTACATGGTTGGTGTAGACATAAACAAGCTTTCAGGTATCACAGTATCTTACCTTAGGCCTAAGGAAGGGTACTATGATCCCCAAAAACTTCCCTTTGTCTATACCAACCATATAGTTGGTCCAATAAATATATATCACACACAAGAATTCTTGCCCTTTACATATCTCCTGGACTATCATGGCAACAAGCCTAAAAAATGAAAGATGTAAAATGCAGCAGGGGAAAAAGCTTAAGAATGTCAATGAAATTTTAAGAGAAAAATAATGCAGTTAAAGATTGCTATACATTTAGCTGTGCACAATACGTAAGTTTAATACTGTTTCCTCTCATATTAAATAGAGTTGAAACAAGACTTCCCTCCTCCAAATAACGTAAATTCTTTCAGAACCAGATATAAAGATTATGATTCCATGTATTCAGTAACTGCATTTTGAAGATAAGCTCTCAGAAGTATTTAAAAGTTTTTTTTGCACTCATAATACTGCAGCCAGCCATACAATTTCAGCTTCTGAAAAGGGATTTTTTTTTAGCCCTTCTCCCAAACTGCAATAAGAACTTCCTCAAATCATCTCAATATAATAAAGTACAAAAATATACAGAATCTCAGAGTTTTGAAGCTGTTTGTTACAGGCTGGTGCCAATCCACTGAAAAATCATTTGTATAAAGGAAGCTGTTAACACCCAAATAATGTGTGATCTACAGGAAGTGTCAGACTTCCACTTCAGATTTCATTCTGTTGCAAACATTGTGTATATTCAGGGTGTAGTGCTACAATAGAAAATATGTTGATTTGCCATTGAGATAAAAACTATACCCCTGCATTTACTTTGTGTATTTAATTTCCATCAAGAATTATCTAGTAAAGTAAAAATAAGAGTCCAGAGATTGGATTCACTCTCCCCACATGGTGCCTTTGCACTCACTGCTCTTGTAACATCAAGGGGAAATAAACCATGACACCTCCCATTCCCACCTCTCTGGATTGTCTTTGAGAGAGGGTGCTTACGGTAGCATAACTATGGTGTCATTCTTGACATCTGGTGACATCACTGCAGGTTAGGGCAGGGCTGCCAGAGCACTGTGATGCTTAGTACATTACACTGACCAGGCAGCTGAAGCACTGGCATAAATCCAGCTCCAGTAGTATGGAGCTGTAGTTTGATTCCTTGCCTAGCTGTACAAGCAGACAGATGCACCAAAGAATCTGCCTGTCCAGTGTGTAGTGAGATATGTAGATTTAGTTCATGACTTGTAGAATACAGGTCATTTCCTTTGTTTGCTTTTGGGATCACTGACCCTAGGAAACTGGATAAAAGCAACAGCCCCACCCCTTACTTAAAGAAAAACTGGATAAACTATAATTTAGCTATATAACTCAGTGAGAAGACTTATGGCTTTGTCCCTCCTTCAGTGTCCTCTCTAATACTGTTTCTTGCTGCATTCTATAAGTTAGCCCATCTGCTGACTATTGGCAAAATTTAAAAAGCTGTCCTTTGCTCATGTCCAGAAATCTCACATCACCCACAGGTTCTAAGAAAATATGCAAACTTTCTAAAAAAAGTCTGAATTTTGGATCTTGCATAGAATGTTAAGTCATACTTTTATTTTACATCTGCAATCTACCCTATCCACCCTCTGTGCTATATACTGACCATCAGGAAAAACATAGGCTCTAAGAAAAGTCAGAGGTAAGTTCACTCAACATTTATAGATCTGTTTTCTGCTTTTATCTGCTTCTTCTGAATGCAGAATCCAGGTTAAACCATCCAAAATTGATTAAGAGATTATGAAGTGTGAAAGCTACTACTAAGAAATGATGAAAACACAAGCTGTAAAATACTTGGGATGCAGATCAGGAAAATAAATTATCATTGTAGCTCCAGAGCTACTTTTTTCTCTTTTTTTATTTATTTTTTTTACTTAAAAGGGCAAGAGAGTTCACCTGTTTCAAACTTAAGTTTGGGTTAATATTCTTCTTTCTACATAGGCCAACTCCTATTGGAAAACATGCACAATCCTCCAAAACCAGGTCTTCAGCATACTTTAGAAGATATTGAAAAAGAACTTTAAATGAAGAGAAACTGGATACAGCAGGCATCACTTTTGTAGTTGCACAATTGTTTCACAAAAAAGCCATTGTGTTATTCCATTGGCACGGAAACAACATTCAAATCTTGGAAAAAAAAGTTTCTTATCCCTGAAAAAAGGCATCATTCTAAGCAGCTTTCAGACTTTTATGCTTCTTCACGCCTCTCTGGAGGAAGGGACCATTGAGCTGATGTCTAAATCACAATGAAAACAGTTTGCTGGAGAATCCAGTTCTTTTCATTGAGGCTCCTGTTGCTATTGTGGTGGCTGGTGTTCTGGTGGAGGTTCTTGTTGAGGCACAGCTTGTCGCAGCCCTGCTGGTCTTGGGATTGCTTGATGTTGTCTCTGTCTATAAGCTATAACTGTTCCCAGAAGCAAAGCAATGATAGTCATAAGGTAAAGGTCCCATTCTGGTCCCAGCAGCTGATCCATGTCAACATGTGAAAATATTTCTCTGATCTGAAAACAAGACCCCCAAACCATTATGTTCTTTTGACTTAAAGTATGAGAAATGGCTGAAACCTTAATACACCTCTAAATTTGAGGAAAACTTGTTTTGTTATTTTTAAGCAATTTTTTATGCATAAGAACAAGCTTTTGCAGTTCTAGAAGAACTGAAATCCAGACTAATTCAAATAGCTACAAGCTCTACAAAACAAACTGCCTACATAGGTATACCTTTGCAGCAGTTCACAGGTTTCACTTACTTCCTGATAAAAGACTGAAAATTTATATTTTATTGATTGCAAGCTGCCTAGTTTCCCAGGACATAAGTACAGAACTAAAAATAGAAGTGGAAAATTAGGGAAGAAGGGTAAATGTTATGGCTAAGGCACTGAGCATGCTCTTGTTCACTCATTTCCCTACTCTGCTCCAGCCTTCCCATTTAACTTTGCTCAAGTCATTTTAGCTCAGATCCGCAAAGGGGATCTCACTTACCTGGGATCATGCTGATTATGGCTCTGCCTAATGCTGAAGTGCCCAGTTTTTGAAGTAGAATCACAAACTCTGGTTTGTTTTCTAAGTTCCCTATACAATGCAAGGTTAGATTCTGGTGCCTTGGAATGGGATTCATAGCAGCCAGCACGCATTTTTGGGCACAGAAGGGGCCACCTAAATTAGCCAACAGAAAATGCTGGGGAGAGAGGGATGTGCTTAAATTCTGCTCATCTTGCACTGTAGCTGAGAGGCAAGTTCTTAGGGATGCAAGCTAGTGTCCTGGATTCCAATTCCTGATCCCCTTCAGGTGACTGCCTTCAATACTCTGCTAAAGAAAAAAATGCTTCCAATTACACTTTTTTTTTCTGTTTCCAGAAATCTGGTGTTATTTTCTACACATGGGCTCAGCTTCAACAACAGGAAGCACAGAAAATGCCCCAATCCAGTCTTTCATAGATTTCATAGACATTTGGGCTGGAAGGGACCTCAGAAGATCATCCAGTCCAGCCCCCTGCCCAAAAGGCAGGAAGTCAGCTGGGGTCATAGGAACCCAGCAAGATAAGCATCCAATTTGCTCTTGAAGGTGTTCAATGGAGGTGCTTGAACCACCTCTGATGGCAGGCTGTTCCAGACCTTGGGGGCTTGGACAGTAAAGAA